GGTTGCTGTTTCTGAGATCAGAGGTTCCACTCCTTCTGAACTCATTCATGGCCACAGTGGCATCACAGACTCTGCTCCTTCTGAACTCATTCATGGCCACAGTGGCATCACAGACTCTGCTCCTTCTGAACTCATTCATGGCCACAGTGGCACCCTTCTACAACTTTGTGATTGGTCACATACTCTGGGCAAGGTACAGAAGTCACTAAGGAATCAGCCAAGCCCTCTGCCTCCAAGTATGCAGTGCTCACTGTAGAGTCCTGTGCACAAGAGTGAGTTCTAGTCTCAGGCTGAGCATTTGTTCAATGCAAGGGGGCGGGGGGGGGGAGGAACTCAAATTGCCCCTTGATTTCTGTTAAATGAATGAATGAATGAACAAATGAGTTTTTTACTTTGACGTTTGTTTTTTCTTACTGCCTTCTAGCCCCTACGGCTGACATTTTCAAGAGGAACATGGGGCCAGACACAGGCCGGGCCTGGAGTAGCAGTCAATGACCTCAGCTCTGCTGTCCTGTGCTGGAGTTAGCTGTGGGAGGTCTCTGCTCCTTAGTTTCCTCACCCAACAGGGTGCGGGTTGGAGGAAGACTCATCTCCTCAGCTTCCTCCAGTGACAGGCTGGAGGAAGGTTATGCCAGCCAGCCCTGTGAGCTTTTAACACCCACTGGGAGCGGTGTCCCAGGGCTCAGTCCTGGGATGAGGCCCTTTAATGTGGGCCTGAGGGAATGTTGGCTCCCTCAGAGTTCCCTGCTCAGGTGTGGTGGGAGTGGCAGTTGAATGGGGCAGTTGAAGAGGAGGCTCCCAGCAGGTGGGACGAGGGGAACCAAGCCTGAGGTCTGCGGAGGAAGAGGCTGGTAAGAGCCATGGCTTCTGGCCGCTCTCCCTCTTTAACTCATGCCAGGAACTTGCTCATCCCCTGCCCCGGCAAAGCTCACCTCTCTTGCGATCGGTGCCCCCCAGTTAGTTCTGAGGGCCTTCTGTCACCCATCCTTAGGTCAGGCTGCAGGGGCGACATGTAGGACCTTGACTGGCCCTGTAAGAGGAAGCCTTGGTTTGGGGTTCCCAGAGGGGAAAGAGGCCTGGGAGAATTCTAGTTTAGGAGCCTTGTGGTATGAGAAAGAAAACAAAGAGAAACAAGACAGGATTTGATCACCGTGATGCACAGAAGCCTACATTGAAGAGTTAGGTCTTTCAGCCATGTGCATGTGCTCATGCATGCTCCCACAATACTGCTCACAATTAACCAAGAGATTGATTCTTTTGAAAAAGATCTTGAATTCACCTTGCATTACTACGTGGCTCTCATAGGTTTAAAATGAGAGTTCTTATCTTTTTTCAGTCATGGTAGACCATCTCTGTACTAAATGGATGACCTCATTTGGAGACACTGCCTCAAGCTATTATTTTAGGCTCTTTAGGGATGAGAGGTTTTGAGCAGACCTCCCTTGGCCTTTATGTTGCTTGTCTGTGGCCTTCCCTCATCCCCTCCCACACCCCACAACTCTGACACCAGCTCCTCATCACTCAAGATTAATGTTTTAGGCTGGCTGACCATAGGGTGCTGGGGACAGCCAGTATGGCTCATCAGTAGAAGTGAAGGGCCAGACTTGAGGAAAGCCATCTACAGCTTCTCCTCTGAACTAGGCAGCTTAGGTCTTGCAGGAAGTTGGGAGAGGGGATATGACACGTTGGATACTTTAATTAATAATGGATTTATTGGGCTGGGGTGTAAAGCCTTGGGTTCAATTGCTAACACCAGAAAATCAGAGGGAGAGAGAGGCATGGAGGAGGGAAAAAGGGAGAGAGGAAGGGAGAGGAAAGGAGGGGGAGGGAGAAAAAGGGGGAGAGGGGAGAGGAGGAAGGGGGGGGTTATGGAGAGATGAGGACTGTAGCCTCTTATCTGGAAGGGTTTTTGGTGAAAGATGGAGCTGCCAAGGGTGGATGGAGTCCTGAGGAAGGACAGCCATTGTAGACGGGAAGCAATATCAGACGTCTGATCTGCACGTGCCCTTGTAAGTGTTCTGAGTTAGAGAGGCAAGATGGAGTGTACAGAGCACAGGAGCAGGCAGAGAAGATGTTTCTTACAAAGCCTCCCTCTAGACATCTTTTCTCCTCCTGCTTTGAGCAGAGTCAAGGACACAGAAAAACAAACACAGCATGAGGAGAACAGCAGATAAGGGTTCGGCAGCCCGGAAGCTCAGGGCCAGGGGCCGGCAGTGGTGCTGCAAGCTGCCGCTCGCTCGGGGGAGCAGGGCCGCCTGTTTCTTGCAGTGTCTGATTACAGCTATGAGAGCTGTTGAGATTTTTTTTCTGCCAAGCAAGGAATCCTTTAAAGAAAATGTGCTACTCTTAATACATGTTTTTTGTGAACTGGAAAAAAAAATTGAACCATGCAGACCATATAAAATGGACTTCTAAATTGTGTGTGTTTGTGCTCTTTATTCTAAGTGGAGCCCTCTCTGCTTCTGCCTGCCCAGTATATTGAAGTTAGGTTAGGAACCCCCACCTGAAAACAGCAAGGCGCTCCAGGGATGGGTCGCAGTCTCTTGCCAATCCTTAGGTGCTCCATCGTGAATGATGGCTGCAGGGTCCCTGGCCTGGAAAACTGCCCTCCACCCCCATCAGCTGCTCCTGCTTCCCTGTGACTGCTGGCAAACAGATTCCTCACTCTAGGCAGCTTCCTGCTCCTGGCAAAGGATGGCGCGCCAGACGGAGAGACGTTACCCAAAGCACACTTCCTGATTTAAAGAGTCTCACTCCCCCCACCCTGGGCTGCCAATTTTAGTAAAATAGCGTTCCAGCTGCAGAGCTTCCACACTATCTTATGACATCTTAGCTTGGCAGTTCCTGTGGAGGAGTGTTCAAGGAAATGGCCTCCCAGTATCGATTTCCTGTGTACGGTCTTCTGTGGTGGGCGTCAGGGAGGCTGGCTTTTTGTGCTGGGCATCTTGGGATGTTTGACACCTTAGACAAGCTGCTGACAGGATCCTTCACCAGTTAAGAGGTGATCAAGAAACCAGAGGTCATATGTGAGGCAGGCTGAGTCTTGTCAGGGTGGAGGAGCCAGAAGCTGAGACTGGACAAGGAAGGAATAGAGGCTGGGTGTGAGCCACCGTGATTGCCTTCAAATGGCAGAGGCCCGTGTGTGGTCTTTCTGGTCCCTGAGACTCAAGCAAGGTTCACAGGGAAATGGCAGTCGGTTTCACAGAAGGAAAACAATGCATTCCCTCTAGGGTTCTTTCCTCTTAAAATGTTTAACTTTTCATTTTTAGATGATTTCAAATTCACAGAAAGGTGATAAGAATAATGATAAGAAATTCCAGCTATACTCAGACAAAATAACAAGCTGCTAGGATGCCTTTAATATTCTCTGCATGCATTATTTATTAGCACTGTCTGTGACCCCCGGACCTCTGTGCCTGTGCTCTATGCTAAAACTGCAGGTGTGCGTCTCCACGCTTGGCTTTTACTATTATTATTGACACATTTGAAAGTCTCAGATAATTTGCTATATTTCCCCTGAATACTTATTCCTCAAGAATATGAATTCTTATATAACCAGAATCATCAAAATGATAAGTATCTTTAATCATTCCACAATCAAAATCAGGACATTCAACTTTAATCTAATGTGACTGCACAACCCACAGCCACATGCAAACTTCTTCGGTTGTCCCACTCATGTTCTTTAATTTTTTTTTCCTTTTCAGCATGCCACACAGGACTGTGCATTGCTTTGAGCTGTCCCATTTTGGTTTCCTCTAAGTAGGAATATTTCCTTGCTTCCTTTTTCTTCTATGATGCTAAGGTTCTCAGGAACTCAGGCTAATTTTGTAGAGAGCTCCTGTGGGCCTGGGCTTCCCTTTAGATGAGATGATGCGTTTTCTACATAAACACAATGTGAGGGCTGTCTTGAGCGATGGCTGGAGACTGTGGCTGTGCTGGCTGAAGCATGTTGTCTTGGCCAGGAGGAGATTCTCATGCAAGAGGCTCTTAGCTGTGCTCAGTGTCTTCTAGATTCTGTAATACTCCTGAGCTCTTCCATCTTTTCTACCTGATTGCGCTCCTCCCTCTGAGCAGCTCACAGTGACCAGGGAGTGGACATGGAAAAGGCCCTCAGCCAGGGAGAGGTAGCAGGTCAGGGACCCGAGTGTGACTGTCACTCATGCTGTGGCAGTAATGAGGGTGTGGCTGCAGGAGCAAGGCTGTGAATAGTGGCCGAGCCAGGCCCAGGTCTCTGCTTCATTTGGTGGTTGTAGCTGAATCACATTTGGTTGAGGAGACCAAGGTGAGAGACTTGCAGTGAAGGCAGGAAAGCCAGGAGAGGGCTACAGAGATGGAGCTTTGGGTAGAGAAGGCTGTGAAGGGCTTTTTGAGAAGCACCAGGGAAGCCTCATGGGAAAACTTCCTGTGGCCTTTGCGCAGGGGCCCTGACAGACTGTTGGGTATTTCCTTTGTCTTATTCTCTCTCTCTCACTCTCTCTCTCTCTCTCTCTCTCTCTCTCTCTCTCTCTCTCTCTCTCTCAGCTTATCATGTGTGCTATTCACATAGGGTGATATGTGGGCCTAGTTCATTTGCCTTTAGTTTTAAGTGGTAATACACTGTGTTTGGAGTACACAGTTTGTCAAGCCATTTGCTTATCTGTGCATGTTGAAGATATGGCAAACGGCTGCTACAAACATTCTTGGAGGAGTCACTAAAGTATGTTTTCATGAGATTCCATTGTCTGTGGGCTGTTTGCTGGTGTGTGTGCTTTATATTGCATTTTGGTGTTGACACCAGTAAGCATGAGAGAAAAAAGATAA